CAAGAAGCCTTGAAAAAACAGATTTGATCGTCTAATTTTTTTAGTGTCTTATCCTGCCCGCTTAAAAGATGCTCAAAATAGTATTTTTAATCATATCTCAATTTTTCAAATGGAATGAGGGTGGGTATTAGCATATTTAGAAAAAGCATTTTTTTACGAATAATATGGTACCACACACTTGGTATTTCGAGTCAAATTGTCGTTATGAACCGTATGTTGCAATTTCAAATAAACCATATTCGAAAGTGTCGAAAGTTGACATATGATATGTCAATTCAAAGTGTCATTTTCTATCGAATAAAATAACAAAATGCCGAGGGTACCATTTAAAAATCAAAAGTTGTAGTCATTTCCGGTGATACAAGAAGTGACCGAAAACAATAATTAAATATTGTCAATATATCCTAATTTATGTCATAATATACTAACATACCAAGCCTCGATTTTTTATTTGAAAATTAAAAACGTTATAGGAGTGAGCCACTTCTGAGACCCATGGTATATATCGAAGAAAAACTATCTAACATATATTTTTTAGATAACAAGAAAACTATGTTCTATGCAACAATTAAAGAATTATTATCTTTTCTAAGCATCAGCAAAATCGCCAACAAGTTCAAAGCACCAAGTAGCACCTTTTCGTTGGATTGCGTGCCAACAGTTAATATCTCCATTAGATTTTTAATAGGAGTCGGTATGCCGCTACGGTCAACTCCAGGCTACATTCAATACATTCCGAAAAAGACCCTGTTAAGGTCGTTGTGCCGTTAGAAAGTGGTCAAAGGTGTATGACAGTAATCGACTGAGATCTGTTTGGATATCGAATATTGAGATTGTCGCTAATCTACATACATTTTTGATATTTTAAATACCTACTATATTTAACTGCAGTAGTTTTATAATTCTCATTTACATTGGTCACTTTAATGATCTTCTTGGAGGAATCATCCAAAGCGATAAGTGTAGGTTATGGTGACCAAACGTACTGTTTTTACCAGGACTCCAGGACAGACTGTTTTTAGACTATTATCCTGGTTATATTGTTTCTATATTGTTGTATATTCAGTATTGTAAATTGTTGTATATTCAGTTTTTACTTACTTAGCCATTACTCACTGACGAGTATTTGACACGTATCAGAAGATGGTTAGGCAGGGCGTTTTCTTTCATGAGCTTTTGTGTGACTGAAAAGTCCGATACGTAATGTTATCTCTCTTCCGCGCTCCGGACATTCAAAAATTTCGTTACTTCGTTGCCTCTTTACTTTTTGGTCGTCGTTGGTAACTGACAAAAATTTGGTCGTTGACGGAAATCGTACTGGAAGAACTGTCAGCTCAGGGGCTTAAACACCCTCAAAAAGAAAATTCCACTCCTCCAACTCGCAGTGGATGACAGCCCAAGAATGTACAACTTTGAGACACACTTCACTGTAGTATTGTGCAATAAAAAGGATTGGAAGAGAGAAACGTTTCCTCAGCAAGTAAAATACCATACAATAACGTGTGTGTGTGTGTGTGTGTGTGTGTGTTGTATACTGATGCTTCCAAAACCAAACCAGGGAGGGGGCAATAGGAGTCTTTGGACCGAAAACTAAATTCTCCGAACCAATGGGCATCTACCCAGCATCCTTCAGGCAGAAATCTACACTATCAAAAGATATGTAAAACTAATCTTGATAGGAACTATCGGAAATAAGAAATATTCATCTTACCACTATTTCTTGCTTATTATCTTATAATATATTATTATATTATTATTATATTATTATCTTATAATATACAGTCAAGCAGCATTAATTGCGATCAACTCAGTAACCATCAGTTCGAAGTTGGTCAAAGAATGCCTAGAGAAGCTGAACCAAGGCGTGCCTTGCCTAGAGAAACTAAACCAACGCACCTGAATTAGGTAAAGAAAATAAAGTCCTCCTACTCTGCCAGCAATGGAAAAGCAAAAGATCTAGAAAAGGACCAAACATTCCACTATCTAGACGTGCACCAAGTAGAAATCAACTTATAGCGGAACTCAAGAACATGGAAAACTCCATCCGTAACCTGGAATGGGAATCCTCCAAGGTAAGATCCTCGAAAAAATTTCTCAGAACTTACGATTGAGAAAAAATCAAAGATTTTCCTTGATTTGAGTAAGAACAATCTTCAGATTGTCATGGAGTTTTTAACAGGACAGTATCTTGTACTGCAAAAAAAAAGCAAATGTAGATTCCGTAGGGAAAATGGGGAAATACCCCATCACTGACTGCGCTAAGAGTGTAACATTTGTGCCATAAACTATAGTAAGACATCGGAAATGGAGTACTAACCTTTGTAAAATCGTCTCAATTACTGGCTTTTTTGTCAAAGCTCTGAAACTGTATAATGAGTTATAATTCAAGAAAGAGGGACACAGTAGATTTGTAAGGTCGCGGAGATCCCATCCCCATCCTATACATTATACATTGGCAGTTTTAAATTTTAATTTGTATTAAACTTATTGTAAATATTAAACTCTTAACCATTATTTATCATTATAGTAAACTACTCAAAACAATTATCGCATATTTTCAAAAAAAAATGTTAATTTGAAAAACAAGACAATTTGAATTCCCTGACTTACGATTTTAAATAGTATTGATACTGTGAAGAGAAATTTGATAAAATAAGCCTGTGCACTGACCTGTAATTTTTAGTCAGCCGACTATTTAGTTGCAAAAGTGAAAACAGTACATACTTATGAAGTCGATCATCCGACTATTTGATTGCATGTGAGTGCGGATCCTTGAGGATATATATCAGTTACAAATATGCAACTAAATAATCGGCAGATTAAAATTTGCCTGTCAACGCATAGCAATGTAATCAAATATTGTACCGATCGGCTCCATAAGAATGTATTGTTTTCACTTTTGCAACTAAATAGTCGGCCGACTAAAAATCACATGCCAGTGCGTACCCTAATTATCTTAAAAAAAACTCACAAAAGTAATGCAGAAAAATTCATGCTTCATTTAGAAATGTGTAATAATTACTTTTATTCAAATATGCGATAATTGTTTTGAGTAGTTTCTTTTGCATGTCTTCTCGAACGAAACATATCCTACCACCTCTATGTATAATTACCCCTCGCCTAAAACCGCGCTTGGAATAGTTTCAGCGCGCGATGTAAAACAGAGAAGTGGATGAAAATATGTTAACAAGTACCGTATGATCGAATAAAAACGGCGTCAGCGATGGCTATGAAATGGAGATCGCTGTCATTTTATATTAAATAAATAATATTAAAAATTATAATCGAAATGTCATCGATCGTCATTTCCAAGCCAACTGGACGCCATTTTTTTCGATCATACGGTGTTATTACACTGGATGATTTGACGAAAATATGATGGCGTAAAAATCTCAAATAAGTAATCTCCGTGTGTTAAGCTCTTTCGAAAAAAGGATAAAATCTTACAAAGAGCAATCTAAATTAGATTGTCTCTAGTTTATCTAATAATGAGCTTTTAGCGACTCACAACTGTCGTTGAAAATAGGACTAGGATAAAGAGGAAATTGATATACCAAAGTATATACAGGGTGTTCGTTAATGACTTAATGACATGTTAATATTTAAGAGGGCGATTCTTAAGCCTGTTCTAAGAAAAAAACTTCATATGAATGTATGCGATACATTTTAACCTTTGAGATACAGAGTGTTAAATTTTTCTAAAAAAATTCTTTCATATTAACTCTGATGTTATTAGAGATATCTTTACCAAATTTGATATACGCCTTCTTCTGTACATAAAATGTTTTTGATGTACAAAAAAATTTCTTGTATCTCTTAATTTCCATCCAGCCGATGCAGAAACGATTTCCAAACAACAATCGACGCGTTTTTTTTAAGCAAAGACTACTGATCATTGGTCAGATGAAAAAAATCAAGATTTTGAAAATAATTTTTATTTTAATAGAAGCCAGTGGTGTACCTTTTTTTTCTACTAAAATATTCAATATAAATCCCGTATGGACGCCACTGGTTGAAATAAATAATATTGTTTGTACATCAAAAAAGGCACTTTGATACACAGAAGACGTGTATCAAGTGTCATGAAAATATCTGTAATAATAACAGAGTAATTATGAAAAAAGTACTATTTTAGAAAATGTTACCTAATTTTACCTTAATTTTAATGTTTCGCTTTAAGGCATCGTCAACTTAAATATTAACATGTCATTAAAGAACACCCTGTATATCACAAACAATAAAAATATACACAGAATGTATTTACCCTATTTTACTCTAATTTATGTCAATTTATTTTGTTACAAACAGTGTTCTAACAGGTTCCGGAAATACGAATGTATTTCCGGAACTTGTCCGAGCATACTGTTAGGCATATCTGTTTATAATAATTATAAAATAATTAACATTACATTCAAGCAAACTGTTGTATTCTATATGTAGATGGTCTAAAAATCACTGTAATTCGAATAAATTGCGTGAAGCAAACCATAAAGAAAACACACAATAAACTGTTAATTGCTTTTTATAAAACATATACCGGTAGCACATAGAGTATGATTTCTTTGACTTACTTAAGTTTTTAATTTAAAAGACACAACTTCCGATAATCATATTACCACTATCTGTGATATTACTTAAATAAAAGCGTTTTTCATAACTAGTTCTAATAGAGGAACAGCCGATATACAGCAATAACCTCGACATAACTAATAAACTATTAACAATTTTCGATCAAATGTATGTTATATGAATTATATTTTATATCGTTAAAATTTATATATAAGCGTCTTACTCAAAGCTTTAACAGTAACAAAGCTGAACAGTATTGTGTGTAAGTCAATACCAATCGCAAAATTACAATTGTTTAGGTTCTAAATGGGTGATAGGTAGCAACAAAGGTAGCAAACACAAATTTGAATATCAGACTTAATCCATATTACATATTTTTAAATGAAAGACAAAAAAGGCATAAAACCTGTTATTGGATTAGCAAAACTTACCCTCTTAAATAGCAAACATTAATATGAAAAATAGCATATCCTTAAATTCTATAACGAAAACCAGTTTAAAATCACACACTGTAGTCTTCGACTAAACAACTAATTCCTCTGATGAAAGTGTTTTATCGATAAAGCGTTTTTTAGTCCGTTTAAACTCATTCAGACAAGGGAAATATTCACAAAGTTTTGTTACTGTAATAGAGCAGTGAACCAGTGAAAAATTACTGTTTTCAAACCGAGATTTTAGTAGCGATGCCGCGACCAACGGTGATTCGACTGGCCAGCACCGAAGAAGGCATTGGCATGGCTCGCACGCGGATTATTTACCCCTTCTTCAGCTTTCGCTGGTCCTAGGATAGTACCAACCGATGCTGATTACCTGTTCGATGTCGGTTCACCTGTTCGTAGATATGTAACAGGGACGGGCTAAGGTCGGTACTAAAGCGTAGCTTTCATTCCGCCGGAAAAAAACTCTCTCTTTTAACACTCGGAGACGATGGGTGTTCTTATTCGCTCGTTCGTATTGTCAAGACTTAAATATAGGCCAATTTGGGTTTATATCAATTTGGAAAAAAATCATATTTCAGTAAGCCAATTTGATGTAAACCCATAGGGAATCGTTCACGTATACGTCGACCTAGACATGCTCTAATAACATAAAGACATTATTAATTAAAACAATTAAAATCAGGTCGATGTAACGCGATGATTGAAGGTGATGTGCGTTGTAAACATCGGCGATGGAAATACAAAATCTCTGCTGAAGAAAATGCTGAAGACAGCGGGAACAGTCAATAAACAGTTATAGTCCAGGACTATTACGGTGCCTCGTGGAATAAAATATAACACATATGAACTTACACTTAAATTGCTATATTAAATCTTCTAAATCGTTTTCTTCCAGCTGCATATGTTGAAACATATTACTGCATGACTGTCCTTGATATTATCCACACAGGTTTGAGCAGTTCAGTCCAGATTTCCTACAACTACAAAGTTTTAAATTTAAAGAAGGCATCCATACTTCTCAAAGAGACCTGCTTTAAATTAAAGAGAAGTAGTTCACAAACAGAGTTTGCCGCAATTTGTCTTGCAGTTGCAAAACATTAGATTTAGAATAAATTTCGGTACAACTGTGGCTTGTTAGTTGTGGTTGACAAAATTATATCATCCAGTTTTCTCCATCCCCAAGAAGGAGGAAGTAGGTACCAAATTGTTCCCAAGTCACTCCTGAATTTGGAGGTATACCCTCAACCCTCAAACTATGCATTTTTCATACCGACGTAGCTGTTGTTGAATTTTGGTGGAAAGATCTTTCTCATGCCCATCAAAGACAACTATATATTTTTGTTCCTAATTCTATAGAAGATAATTGAATGATAGGTAATGAAATAATTTTTATGGGACATTTTTTTTAATTTTGAAACCTTGATGCGAGCCACTGGATTTATAAAAAAATAATATGATATATAATTTTATAGGTAATTTTATTGGCTTTCATTTTATATCTAGCATTTTTTTACACAAGGTAACCATACTGGAGATATTTAACAATAACTAAAAAAATGTACTTTTGGGGGTGGTTAGCACGGATATTTATGTTGTCCTAAAATAGCCCTAATCCTTTAGAATTAATACATACCTATATAATACTTGTTGTTCGCCACTGGCCCATATATTTTTCTTCTAGATTAAATATTTTATGATTTATTATTATTTTAAAAATATATTTAGTTAATTATTTTGTTCATAAACGATGAATTTGACCAACGTAATAAATTTAATAACTATATAGCTACTAGCGCTCGATGTACGCCACTGGTTTCATCATTTGATACACTTACTATACATAATTTTTTAATAAAGTTGACCGTATCAGAAATATTTAGCAAAAACTAAAAAAGTGTACTTTTAGGTGTGGTTTTGGGGTGGCTGTGTTAATGATGCTAATCTGGACCACAATGACTAACTATAAAAACAGCTTTAGGGCATTTTGTTCCACGAGCACCATATAATTGAAAATAAGTGTCCTGGACTAGTTAGTCATTTGACAGATTAGACGTAGTCAGAGTTAGTCAGTTAGCCGGTGGTTCGAGTAGGCATGTTCCGTCCTCCGGTATACCGGTATCAGGACCGGTGCTTTTTAAATATTCCGATACCGGTATCGCCTTTTAGAAAACCGGTACCAGAAGACCGATTTTTGTACCGGTACTGTAAGGTAGAATCTTTTTTTTTTGGTTCTATCTTTACCAATAAGCGAGATAACCTTCAATTGCAACAAAAATGAGACACACTATACAGGGTGGTCCAGGCATCCGAAAAAGCTCTATATTAGGTTTGTGATTTTCATTTCAATATTTTACACAATATGGGGGCAATGGTAACGCACATTTTGAAAATATTTTTGTCAACATACAGGGTGATTCAAACATATTTTCAAACTACAGTTGAATATTTTTAAATGGAATACTATACAGGGTTATTCACCTCATCCCACACAGATTATTGTAGACAAATGATTGGATTTTTAGTAATTGTAAGTGATGAGGTCGTTGGAGGACAACTAACGCTACAATTTAAAATTATTTTCAAAAGGTACAGAGTCTCCCAAATAAATAAAAAATATCAAAGTTGTATTTTTTAAATAACAATTTAAAAATTATAAGTTGAAAAATTAATATATTTAACATTTTTATTCAATTTGCTTGTAAAATTATAAATTTCAATTAAGATATTTTTAAGTTCACCCCGAGAAGGGCTGAAATATATCAATAACGCATTTTTTCCAAATTTCGGAGACGGTAAGGACTTTGAAAAAAATGTTTCAATAAAAGCTGTTCTCTAGCTTCTAGCTACCCTATCTCGGTTAATTTTGATTTGAGTAAAAATCGTTTCTCCGTTTCGAAATTTCAAAAAAATAATGTTATTTATTTCACCCCTCTCGGAAGTGAATTTATAAAAATATTTCACAATTCGTTTTTAAATCGTTCAAAGTAACTTGTATCAAAAATTCAAGTTTTTGCCAAAACTTCGTATTTGAAGGCCTATTTTCTTCATTATGAATATTAATATTAGATTTATTTACAAATTCATTACTTTTAAAGATAGCTTCATTGGAAAATAAGATTTTAGTTATACAGGGTGTCCCAGAAATAAGTGCAAGTCTTTTAACTGCTAGTATAGTTCAACCCCAGAAACACGCCTATGAGTTTTTTTTGCGAAAAAAAAAATTGAAAATTCGATTTTTTTGGAAATCGTTTTAGTTTTTAGTTAAAATAACATAATTTCTTAATAATATGGCAACATAGATATTAGATTAAATTTACAAGAAAGAAAATCCAAAAAAGATCCAGTGGTTCTCAAAATTTTAGGAAAAATTTTTTTTTTTTTGGAAATTTTCAAGGTAAAATAACTCCGTTATTTTGGACTTAATATGTTTCTTTTATCGAGATCTACCACCCCTTAAAATACTTGTACTTATTTCTGGGACTGTATATTCATAAGCATATACATTGCGAAATTCATTCTATCGATAAGTCCCAGCATACAATTAATCATAATTTTTTTTTCGTCACGTTAAAAAAGGGGTTTCTACTAAAATTCTTCAAAAAGTCTTCTATTGAAAGCCTAGATCATAATATACAGGGTGAGTCTTTAATAAGTGCAAATATTTTCAGGGGTGGTATATTTCAACCCCAGGAACACGTCTATGAGGTTTTTTTCGGTAAAAAAAGATGTTGAAAATCGTGTATTTTCTTTTAAATTTCCCTGTATATTTTTCGAAAGCTTTTTAAAATTCACCACAAATTTTTCCACGGTATAATTTATTAATCCATAGTTACGGCTTTACTCTATGGTTATGGCAATAAAAGGGAAGCATATACAGAAAAAATCCGGTGGCTCTCATATTTAAAAAAAAAACATTTTTTTTAAGTTTTCAAACTTAAATAACTATAGCTTATTTTGGACTTATCTGAAAAATGGTAAAGAGAAAATATGTTTTTTTTTATCGAGATGTACCAGCCCTGAAAATATTTGCACTTATTTAGAACTCACCCTGTATATACTATCACAAACATATGAACGATTTTCATTTATCTTCTTTTTTTGTCGCACACGCGGTGCTTCTACTCTATCTATCCTTGTCGAAGACCTATCGTCCACGCGCCAAATTTGAGCATTAATTTTAAAAATTTAATTTTTACAATGCATATATTTGAACAATAAATTGAATGTTTGGTTTGGTTTGGTTTGGTTTGGACAGTAGTCATAAAAATTAGATTATATACAATTTTTAAAATAAAAAACAAGCGTCGTTACACAATGGAAATAAAATTATGACATATGATGACAAAGATTATGACAATGAAAAGTTGGTTTCCATAACAATGTATAATTTGTACTTTCTAAACCGTATAAAATTGTGATTATTTTGGAAATACGTGCAACTTTTAATGCGCATGGGGCACAAAGTAAGGTCCTCGAGAAAGACAAACCTATTGAACGTTTCATAAGTGCAATGAAGAAGGTTTGAAAATGGCATGTCGTAATGTTGGAGACATATTTTTTAATGCTAAGTTTGGCGTTGAATTTTGAACACCCTGTATGATTTAAGATTATGATAATTATAGCAAAGTTAAGTATAGACCACCTAAAGTAAATGCCTAATATAATTTGAATTTCAGGACAGTTCTTGTATTTGTAATAACTTTTTTAAAGAAGGCTGAAAAATATACAGGGTGGCGCACCTCATTAACCTCGGTTGATTATACGAAAACGGAAAGATGTAGAAACAATTTTTTTTGTGGGTATATGTAGTATGTAGGGAGGCAATGTGCATAATTTAAAATTATTTTGAAATGTACAGGGTGGGTCAGAACTAAGATCCATACAAAAGTTATATTTTTTCTTATGGAACAATCGGTATTTTATTTCATTTGTGGATTCTTGGGCATAAAATAAGGAATTTATTATAAAGGTTCAATATGCTTAAAAGCTTTGTTTTTAAAGATATTTAAATATGCATGCTATAATAAAATAGTTTGTCAACATCTCCGTATATTACTTTTCAGAGTTAATTCTTGTTTTTTTTTTCTTACAAACCAGAGAAATAAACTTTACTAAAAAATGCGATTGCTCCTTAAATGTACACAGAGGTATCAAAAATTGCTGGTCTATTTTAAATAAAAACTTCGTTATTTAAAATACAACACTATGTATTTTTTTAATAAGCAAGCAGATTTAAATGCTCTTTCAAACTATATTAGGGTTTCCTATACCTATCTGGCTCAAATTTTGAATAAAAAGCGATTTTTCAATAAAATTGTAATCAAAGATGGCTGGTGTCGCCATGGCAATTTTCTAGTGACACTTAGTAGCTATTTTCAAAATCGACATTAGTTTATGGACTATTTATAACGGGTTATTTTTATTTAATTTACCTACAATAAGGTTAATAAGTAAGTATTTATTATTTTATTAAGAAAAATGAAGCAATATCTGCTGGCAGAAAGAATGGATATTTTACTAGTGGTTTTATTTTGTGAGGACAATTGCTTGTTGGCCTAAAGGGTTTATGCTCAAAGATATTCAAATAGGAATTTTCTTAACAAGCGTTCCTTTGAAAAACTACTTTTTCTATTTCGCAGAGTTATAGTGTGGTAGGTATATGAAAACCCTATTAGGCAGAAACCTGTCGTTGGAAGTGAAGAAAATAAATTTGCCTTAATTGGCTCTTTTATAAAAAATAAATATATTTTACTTTACTATTTTTTTAATATATCTACAAATCATCGTAATATAAATCAAAGAACTACTTCTATATTTTTCTTGATAAAATAATAAATACTTACTTATTAAACTATTGTAGGGTAATTATATAAAAGTAAACTATTATAAATTTAAATAAAGTCCATAAACTAATGTCGATTCTGAAAATAGCTACTAACTGTCACTAGCAAATTGCCAACCAGCCATCTTGATTGCCATTTTATTGAAAAATCGCTTTTTATTCAAAATCTGAGCCAGATAGGTTTGTATATATTTGTATATACAAATATATATATATATATATATTTGTATTTTAAAAAATACATAGTGTTATATTTGAAATAACGAAGTTTCTATGTAAAATAAATATTTAAAATGGTACAAAAATGTAATAATATACATTATATACCATTTAAAAAAAATCATCTCGATCCACTCACACTTTTTTGAGCCACCATGTAGAAGTTAAAATATTTTCCTGAAAATATTTACATACTTTTAAGTTTGCACTCAAACAAAATTCACAAGTTTTTTATTCTAGAAGCTACAGATGCTCGACGCATTATTGCCGGACCCTGTATATGTGTTTGTATTTTTTCAATCAAGCAATTCTTACTTAATATCCATGTATCGGGTACATCTCAAAAGTGGCTCACCCCTATAACTTTGTTATTTTTTTAGATAAAAAAAAAAGAGATTTGTTATGTTATATAGTATATAACATAAATTAAGGATTGATTGGCGTATTGTATTCAATTCTTTCCAATGACTTCAGTTCGAACCACCCTGTATATAGTCATTTTCCAATCAAAAGTTGTAATCATTTCCAGTGAAACAGGAAGTGACCGAAAATAATTGAATACGTCAATCAATACTAATTTATGCCTTATACTAACATACCAAATCTCGTTTTTTATCTGAAAAAATAAAAGTTATAGGTGTGAGCTTTGAAACGCACCCGGTATACTAAGTAAAATTTTGTAAAAATTACAATTAAAATATTTACTCATATCTTAACAATTTACAGCTTTACATACTTCGCTCTGTAAAACGAGAGGACGTATGATAGTGCCAGTCTTCTAATTTTTTTTTAATTCACAGGTAAATTGAAATCTTTTCATTTTTAAGAATGTCATCTGTCGACTTCATTCTATTTTTCTGGTGGACCAATAAGGTGACCTGTGGTAAAATTTAGTATTTCTTTTATGAAAATAAAGAAAACATATTTTACAAATTTTATTTCGCAACGCGAATACAAAAAAAATATTACACAGTTGATACGAGTAACTGCGCCGATAACGTACAGACAGTATTACATAAGCAGCTACTAATCCTAATATAATCTGATCATAATTTAGTAAATATCGGTTGATAGCTTTAACAAAAAAAAGTGAAAAAGATAATAATTTAAATCAAAACAAATACACAAAGTTCATGAGCTATTTCTCTTCACACCATTCATTTTCTTTTCGAACCTGATCCTCCTCGGAGGCTGTAAAATCATTCTTAATATTGAACGTTTTGCGAATTTCGTCAGGCGCTTTGCCCTTGATCATATTGGCAACAGTTTTGCAGGTGACATCTAGCAGGCCTTTAATGTCCAGATAATTGGCGGCTAAAATCAGTTCGAACAGTGTTCCTTGATCGACTTTCAGGAAATCAGCATCCCACGATGAAATGTCGTCAGTCCTTTTTTCTATTAATAAGAATGGTAATAATTAATACTAAAACTAAAAATCGTCCTTCCTTAATAAAAAAAAACTGTATACACCCTATCAAAATAGGCCAAACCCTATCAAAGTAAAAACATAATTTATTTATATTGTTTTATTACCGTCTTTGAGAAAGATCCAAAAATATAATTTCAATTAAAATGCAATTTTTCAAAATTTCTCACATTTTTAATGTTTTATCGCACATATTTTGTTAGATATTTAATAGACATTCATATTCCAGTATCATCCGAGATGGCGGACGAGGATGACGTATCTCATCCCGTCCCGCCTAATATTAAGTTAAAAAGTTATAGCTATCAGTGTTGTGCTAAAAAAGCTTGTAGCTCCATTAATTGCATATTGTGTGGAAAGGTCTATCATGTTAGTTGTCTTTTGAGAGACTATGATAAATTTAAAATAATAGATAAAAGTACTATTATATGTTGTGGTAATGATGACATAACCTCAAATACCAATATAGATTTAGACTCCGAATGTGATATGGGTTTGCTAAAACTGCTTCTCAAAAAAGTAATACAAAACAAGAATAAACTAGCTTTAGAAAATGAAAATCTCAGAAGAATGATACTAAAAGGTAATAATAATCCTTCCAATGATCTAACTAGTCATGTCACCAATGAAGTTTCTGTTACTAAAAGTGACTCAATTATCAATTTGCTCAAAGACAAAATTAATGATAAAGATCAACTAATAGAAGAAATTACAGATAAAAATAATGTCTTAAAACAAAACATAATTTTGCAAAATGAAAACCTAACTTTGATTAAAGAGAAACTAGTTAATTTAGAAAAACAAAAAAATCAAATTGAGATGAAATCATTTGCACAAGCTACGAAAGTAACCTATAACAAATTTGAAAATACCGAGATTGTACCAGCTATTATCGTCCAGTGTAACAAAAAAGAACAAATAAACAATGTGCACAATAAAACTAAACAGTTATTAACAACAAACAAAAATATCCAATATAATAAAATAACAAGAACTAAGGATAAAATTATCATCAAATGTAATAGATCTATGGATATTACTGAAACTAAAGAACTACTAGGGTCAATTTCTAATGATGAAATTTCTGTCGAGGTTGAAAAAAAGAATAACCCAAGAATCAAAGTGATAAATATTGATTATGATTTGGGAAATGAAAACATAGAAAATATAAAGGAAGATATCTTAATACGTAATGATCTGAAAGATGAAGCTGATAAATTTGACATTGTGTATAAATACTTAAATGAAGACAATAAAATATGGACTATTATAGTTGAAGTAAGTTCATATTCTTATGCTAAAATCATGGATACTAAGAAACTTTATGTTGGAACGAATAGATGTCCTGTGTTTGATGATTTCAACTTAAACATATGTTACAAGTGTTCAAAGTATGGTCATAGTAGTAAGAAATGTAGAAATAATGAAATATGTGGTTATTGTGCTCAGAATCATTCGAGCAAAAACTGTCAACAAAAGGACGACACTAAATGTTCTAATTGTATAGACTTTAATAATAGATATAATCAAAATAGGCCGATCAACCATGCAGCTGGAAATAGGAATATCTGCCCATCTTACAAAGCACTTCTTGGTAAATGCATCGCTAAAACAGACTATCCATATAATCCACTCAACAACACAAGTACTATCATAAGTAAGAAGGCAACAAATATTGCAAGAAATAATAATGGCTCTTAATTTGGATTTTCTTGATAACATACAGAAAGATTTGATACATAGTGAAGAAAGCTGTAATGATGTGGAAGCTTTCAATAGAAATGTAAATAGTAATGATAATATAGTACTAAATATAAATATTAGGAGCATAGATGCTAATTTTGAAAGCCTAGAAATTTTTGTTGCAAGCTTGTATATCAAACCTTTTTATATTTGTTGTACTGAATCTTGGAACATTGTAAATAATAATTTTTATAATTTGGCAGGCTATAGAATGTATTACAATGAAAGTAAGTTAAATAGGGCTGACGGTGTTGTTATCTATATAAAAAGTGATATCATAGAGGAAACTGAAATTATCGAGGTTAATAAATTAAATATAATAAACACTTCTATCAAAATGAATAATGGTAACAACATTGAAATATCGGCTTTATATAGATCTCATAGTATAACCAAAGCTGAATTTATTTATAATTTAAAATCATATTTAAATGAAGTTAAAAAATATAGAAATCACTTTGTGGTTGGTGATTTCAACATTGATTTGCTAAAATGTGATATTTACTCGCAAGAATTTTTAAATAATTTTCTTGAAATGGGGTTTGTACCAGGTTTCCAGAACACCACTAGACCATCGAATACAGAAAATATTAGTGGGACTTGCATTGATAATATTTTTTATAAAATTGATAACTTAAATGTAAAAACTTATACAATTAAAAATACTATAACGGATCACTATACTCTACTTGTTAAAATAAAAAGAATAAACTATTTCAAGAAATAAAACAAACTAAAAATTTTAATATAAACTACAACATATTATTGAACAATGCATGTAACACTAACTGGAATGAAGTGTACAATATGAATGATCCAGATGTTGCTATTAATTTTCTAATCTCGAGCATTAAAAATTGTATTAGTAATTCAATGATTGTGAACAATAAGAAAACGAGACATAGAAAGAACTGGATTACTAATGATATTATACAATTATGTAATAAGAAAGATAAACTGTACCATGAGTGGATTAAAGATAGAAGCAATGATGAATTAAAATTAAAGTACAAACAATTTACGAATAGGCTAAGTATAATTATTAAACATGCTAAAATAAATTTTGATAAGAATCAAATTAGAAACAACGCTAATAACACAAGAAAACTGTGGGATTTTGTAAATGCTAAAATATCAAAGAAAACCAAAAAAGAAACAAAGATTGACTATTTAATAAACGAGAACAACCAAAAACTTACTGACAACTTACAGATAGTAAATACAATTAATAATTATTTTAGCTCAGTTGGAAGAAAATTGAGTAATAAAATAGTAAAGCCACTGGATCAGTCATTGAGAATGCCAAAATTAAATAAGAAAACTATATTCATAGAACCTACCAGTCCTATAGAGATTTATAATATAATTACTAAATTTGAATTCAAAAATGGTGGAGTCGATATGATCAATACTAAAGTATTAAAAACCATTGCTGATTTTATAGTAGAGCCACTAAGTTACATATTCAACTTATGCATCGAGAAATCGACTTGGCCGGTAGCACTTAAATTAGCTGATATAGTTCCCATACATAAAAGTTCAAGTAAATCTATGGTATCTAACTACAGACCTATCTCTTTAATCTCGAATATTGCAAAAATTTTTGAAAAAATTGTTCATTCAAGAATTTATAAATTTATTATAAATTGTAATATTTTATCTAAAAAACAATTTGGTTTTATTAAAAGAATAGGAACTGCAGACGCTTTAAATCATATAACTAACATCATTTATAACAAATTAGACAAAAGCAAACCAGTATTAATAACTTTTTTAGATCTGGCAAAAGCCTTTGACACGGTAGATCATGGTATATTATTGGATAAGCTTTCATGTATGGGAATTAGAGGCAAGGCCAATGAACTAATGAAAAGTTATCTTGAGCATAGAAAGCAGAGAGTTAAAATTAATGATTATATAAGCGAGAATAAAGATGTAACTATTGGAGTGCCTCAAGGAACTATCCTTGGGCCATTGATGTTTATTTTATATGTAAATGATTTATTAATTGGCATACAGGATGGTTGTATAATATCGTATGCAGATGATACTGCAATCATTGCTACTGAGGACACTTGGGAGCAAAGTATTAAAAAAATGAATGAACTACTAGATAAGGTTGCAAATTGGCTTGCACTTAATAAACTGTCTTTAAATATTGATAAGACTGTTTTCATGACTTTTGGAAATTACTCAGATAGTGTTCCTAAATTAGTTGAAATAAAAATTAAAGACATATATGTAAAAAGAGTTGATTGTTGTAAATATTTGGGTATTATTTTTGACTCTAATGTAAAATGGGATAAACAAATTGAATATCTGATTAGCAAGACTAAATATTTAATTTTTGTTTTCTATAAACTAAGAAAATACATGGATGTTGAAATGCTTAGAACAATTTATTATGCCTTCTTTCAAAGTGTTATTAGTTATGGTATTATAGCATGGGGTGGTGCTTATGATAACTATTTTACGCTATTAAATACATTACAGAGAAGAATACTGAAAGTAATCAACAACAACTCTTTTGTAATAGACAAAAATCCATTAAGTATTGAACAAATTTATAACTTAGAAGCAATAACTTTTCACTATGAGATCTTAAAAAACAAATATATAAACTCCAAAAGTATTACAAGAAACAAAAACATAATTATACCAAAAAATAGCAAAAGAATAAGTGATAAAGACAGTTACATTAAAGCGATAAAAATTTTCAATCTCTTACCAACTGAATTGAAAAATTTAACAGTGGAAAAGAAAAATTTGAAGAGAACTATCAGGTTTTGGCTAAAGCGGAATACTGATCGCCTGTAGCTTAAGTTATAAGTAATTGATCTTTATTTTTGTTTGTATTTATATTTATTTTTGTTTCATACTTCTTAGTTTTTTAGTTTTTTAGTTTTTAGTTGTTAATTTTTTAAGTTAAACCGGTCCGCGTACAGAGCTCTGTCTCTCTGCGGTTTATCATGTATTTCTACATTGTAAATTAACTGGTATTAATAAATAAATTTTTGCTATTTTCTGTTACTTATTTAACCAATTCTATATGTAAAACAGGAAAATTTGCAAAAACAAACTGGTTACAATCCCAATATGTTAGGTCATTAGGTCATGTGTTATATTGACATTTAAAGGCATGTTGCCAAATATAAATTTGGCGGGTACCCAGATTCCCAAAATAATAGAAAAGGATTTTTTTGTGATTCTCTGGTTGCCTTGTTTTCTTATGGTATGTTTAAAGCTGGTTCTAGCAACACGGTACCGTATCCCATATCCTGTTACGGCAAACTTGGCTTTAAATATTTCAATCGTCTGTTTGTTTTGAATATTATGATCTGTTATCACGCATCTGTGTATTAGCGCCTTAAAAGAACAGACAAAAAATAAGTGAAACCAAAACATTCAAAATACACTTATAGCGAATTAAGTTCAAATAATAAACATAAAACTGCTACAAAGTTAGGGTTCCATACTGCTATTGGTTTTATGACTAAGGTTTCCAAATTTCAGGATCGGATACCGACCGTTTTGAAATCCCAGGATTAGAACCTATAATCCCCTGATTAATTCATGAATTGCTTGTTATCTTAGGATGAAAAAAACAGAGCAAAATATTTTCAAGCTTTTTGAGCTCCATTTTTACAAATTTTGAAAAAAAAACAAAGAGAGCATCAAAGAAAGTTCAGAATTGTTAATCTACAATAAATTTTGCAAAAAAAAACAAAGAGACCATCAAAAAAAGTTCAGAATTATTGTTAATCTACAATCTCACAATGGGGTGTAAACAATTTTTGTGAAAAAAATGACCAGTTTTTCCAATAATTACCATTAGCACTGTAAAATATGATAAAAAAGGCATCAACAATGGCTATCAAATGAAGATCACTGTCATTTTATATGCAAAATTATATGGGGAATGCTATCGATCGTCATTTTCAAGCCAACTGGACGCCGTTTTTCTTTCGAATATACATGGAATATACGGTATCAACAAACGAACATTATGTCGTGTAGATTTTAAATGTATAGGTACCTTTACTTTCGTCATCTTCGGGTGGCGGTGGATCATCTTTGTGGAAGGTAGCCCATTGTAGGACTTTTCGAAGAATGGCTGAATTAACATTGGGCAGAGGCACTATTTCTTCCTCTTCGTCATCCATACCTAGATCTTCCAACATGGTTTTGATGGTAACCGAGCATTTAGCGGTCTCCACTTCAACGTCGAATATTTCGCCATCGGACGACTGCAGTTTGATTTTCGGCATACCTAACAAGAGTATTTCTTTAATATCGCTTCAACAAAGAACTTTTCTCTTTTGAGGAGCAATACAAAGAATAAATAAATTTTATTCTTAAAATTCGCATCCACAATCGACCAAACCTAGGAAATATTTGGACAAATGTCAAAAAATTTGACAAAACACTAAACACCAATACAGATACACAACTACGACACAACACACTAAAGTCCCTAGATAATCCCTAGATCTATAAAAAGGCCATCTAGTGAAAACTGCCAGAGGTAATTTTAGGGACATTTATTAATAATATCTTAAATAATATAAATTATGTCTTTTCTTCCAATAAAATATAAAAACAGTATTTAAATATGTTACAGAACGTGTACGGTACAGTGACTATGTACAGAACTGTCATTTTTCCTTTTTTCCAAATAGATATGTTAATACCAATCTACGTTCTCAGAATAAGATTCCGTTAATCATTAGATATGCAACCAAAGATTCATTCTGAATTTATTTTAGTTTAATTCATTTTAAAAAACAATATCAAAATATCAACTTGGGCTCAAACTGGGCTCAACTTGCAATAATTTCGGTAAAGGTGTGGATCAGGATTCGGAAAACTACATGTTACTTTTAAAAACTACATAAACTACATTACATGTAGTTAATATAGTTTATGTAGAGGGTGTAGTTTATGTAACCCTTCAAGAACGGTAAACTAATAGGATTGCTCATCCTCATAAGACGTACGTTCGCCTCTTCCCGCGCTTCAGCTGACAGTTGTGACGTCATTGTAGCCCTTGTCAAAGCCTTCGTGGCCTTGTCATGATAATGTGTATTATTAGTTGCCTATGGTAAACTTATAAAAATATCAGCTGATAAATTTTGAGTTAATTATTTTGTCAATTTTAAATGTGAAAAAGGTGTCTAAAGTTTTTAGAGCTATAGAGTGTATAAATACGTTCATTTTGCGTTGTGGATTGTGACAAAGTGAATACTAAGTGCCCACGATTTTGTTTATTAATTAGTTTAAAGCAAAATATGGAAATACTCTAAAAAGAATGCTTGCAAAAGGTGATGCTGGGAACTGCTGTTCTTAAAAATGCATTATCCGAGTATTTAATATGATTTATACAGTTAATTTTCTATACTGCATACATATAAGGTGTTTGACTAATAACCATGACAAGGGCTACAATGACGTCACAAAGCGAGTAGTTTTCGCATGTACCTGGCGGACACTTTTGGCTGAATGAGCAGTCCTATTAGGTTAACTCTGGGTTAACTGTTCTTGGATGTAACCTATGTATGTAACTTTCAAATGACAAAGGTTTGAGGTGAGGTTATAATAAGTTGAAGCTTTAAAAACACATAATGTATTTAAGAAAACAGGAGAAATATGGCTTTAAATATAATATTTACATCATATTATCTCTATTACACCTCATACAAAGGAAAATTATTCATAATATCAATACATAGTTTATTAACGTAGTTTTCATGTAGTTAATGAACGGGAAAAGACGTAGTTTTTGAAGAAAAACTACACGTAGTTAATCAGGTAAATTACGTCTTAATTAACTACTTCCGAACCCTGGTAATAAATACTTTGGCAAATAAACTATGAACCATACAAATGCAGCAAATGTTTTACAATGTACAAATAATGTATAGGTACATAAGATAATGGGTAAAATGTAAATATATTTTAAATTTTGGGGTTTGAAAATCGATCTAATTTAACAAAAAACATTCAATATCTACTAATAGTGATGTATTATTATTTGAATTCACAAAATTTATATGTATATTTTGCAAGTATCAATGTTCGAAAAATTATATTTACAAATAATACAATATTATCTAAAAAAAGGCGTCAGCGATGGCTATGAAATGAAGATTGCTGGCATTTTATATGTAAAATTATTCTAAAATGTTTGATTTTCTTGGGATTTTTAGGTTCGGGAAAAACGCTGATTTAAGTTTTCATTATTTTTATTTGGTTTAAAAAAACGTTTCGGCTAACTATAGCCTTCTTCAGTGTTGTGTCATATGAGAAAAGTAGTGTCGAATATAATCCAAAAAATTACATATACAATATAATTCACACCTCATAATGTTTACTGCAATTAATAAACTAATATAAACTTATCAAAAGATGACCACATATTTTTTAAAATTATTATTCTTAACACTAAAATTATCTACATTGACTATGGAGTACGCAGTAAACATTATGTGTGTGGTGTGAATATTTTATATGTAATTTTTTGGATTATATTCGACACTATTTTTTTCATATGACACAACACTGATGAAGGCTATAATGTTAGCCGAAATTTTTTTAAACCAAATAAAATAATGAAAACCAAATGAAAACTTAATCAGCGTTTTTCCCGAACCTAAATCCCAAGAAAATCAAAAATTTAGAATATTTAGAAACAAGGTTCAAGAATATCAAATTTTCCAAGATTGTAAAATTCTAGTTAATTATTTTATGTGTACAGTTATTTAGGGAATGTCATCGATGTTCATTTCCAAGCCAACTAGACGCCGATTTTTTCGATGATACGGTATAATCTCTTACGTAAAATGTAAATAACATTAGACCAATTAAAACAAAGAAATATGAATTTCTTAGTATTTTTAGTAACACATTTATTCTTAAAACTTAATTTTGTATTATGCAAATATACCAATTTTATTGTTATTTTATTCATATTGTATTCAGCCATCACTTAAATATTTGATATGAATTTGGAATTATAAATAATCAACACTATTCATTAAAAATTACTGAACAAAAATATATGTTATACTTGACAACTTGACATACATTATATATTATCCATATTATCAAACAAAAACACATTCTTCTTTTAAACTGTATCAGTCTTGTCTTAACAAAAATCTTTTTTAACATTTGAACTCAAAATAATGTTGCGAGCCGGTGTGGACTCGACCTAACCTCACAATATGGCCCGCCCTCGGATGACCTTAACATCGCACAGACACCGCAATGATTCATTCGTTCGAGAAGAATCGAGACCCACTAGAATGGACTCGTACATACGAGAACATTCGAAAACCTTCTCTATGCGCCTAACGATCTATGGACTATTCTAGATTTCTTTTGCTGTAGGTATAAAAGCCGGCGGCAGTGGCCTAGAGAGGGCAGTTATAAATATACCAGTGCAGTTGACGCGCTAAAATTCAAAATAAATTCTTAGTTATAAATCGTTTGTAAATAGTTCTATAAGTCTTTTATCGTTATTGTTTTTGTTAATTAGTGTTAAATAAATAGTGTTTAAATAAATTGTGACTTTCTAGTCTAATTTCCACACGGAACCGACGAAAAACGTAACAATTGGTGTCAGGTGTGGGGTGTGTGATAGACAAGAAAAATAAAAAGACGGACCATGGCTCTGAAAAAATTGTTGAAAGACTTGAAAGTGTCCGAACTGAAATGTATATTGGAAGAGAGAGAGTGCGAGACAGATGGAAAGAAAAGCATTTTGCAAGCTAGACTGAGAGACGTTTTGGTGGAGGAAGGTGAGGATCCTGACACATTTTGCTTTGAGTTGGAAGGTGACCTTGACTCGTGCCTACAAAAAATTAGAAAATAAAATGACAGAGAATTCTCAAAAATTAGACGACAACTTGAACAATTTGAATAGTAAAATGATTAACTTGGAAGAGAATTTGAATGATAAAATGACAGAGAATTCTCAAAAATTAGAAGACAGTTTGAAAGATAAAATTATGGAAAATTCCCAGGATTTAATTAATATTTTAGAGGATAAAATCATAGAAAATTCTAAAGATCTACAAGCCAGTTTCAATGACAAAATACTTAATTTAGAAGAAAGTTTAAACAATAAGATTATAGAGAATTCTACGGAACTACAAGACAAAATAACGGAGATTGAGGAAGATGTAAATAGAAAAATCGAAATTTTGAAAGAACAAATAGTCCAAAATGCCAAGAAACATCGGAGGCACCGAAACTAGTCGAAAATAAGTATATCTCAAAGTCAGTTATTAAGCCTCCACAGTTTGACGGAAAAACCGCTTGGGCCAATTATTTTTGCCAGTTTGAGGCCGCTGCGAGAGCGAACGGATGGACAATCGCTGAAAAGGCTACCGCTTTGACTGTCGCACTGCGAGGAGATGCGACTGATATCCTGCAGACACTGTCACCATCGGAACAGGGAGATTATCAGCAATTGGTACGACATTTAGAAATGAGGTACGGCCAAGCTCATTTGGAACATGTCTATCATTCACAGCTAAAAAATCGCATTCAAAAGTCAAATGAGTCTCTGCAGGAGTTTGAAGCCGACGTAGCCCGCCTGGTTCGCCTTGCGTATCCTGCTACGCCCGAGAATGTTATGGAGCGGTTGGCAGTACAGACATTCTCCGATGGCTTACGTGACAGGGAGACAAGGCAAGCGCTTCTTCTAGCCCACCCAACGCGCTTGGTGGATGCTTTAGCACGTGCCCTAGAATTTGAGGCCGCGAAACAGTTCTCGGTCTCTAGTGAGAGTACGGGCGGTCAACCAATGTTCCGACAAATCCGTGGAAAGCATTGTACGGAAAGTCATGGAGGAGTACATGGGCAAGAAAGGACCGACTTGTTGCTGGAATTGCGGCCAGGCAGGACACGTAAGAAGTCACTGTCAAGAAAAAGACGTGGACTCGGTTTCGCCAAGTGTCGAATCAAAGGGACACATATGGAGCAGTACCCAACAGGTTCCAACGAAAACTGTTCAAGTCGCATCGCTACAACACAAGTTCAACAGCATTTTTGTGGCTAGTTTCGTGGATGGAGAGTTACGGACCATGCTGTTGGATACGGGTGCGACCAAAACGATCATCAGGCCGGATATCCTTAAAACATCAAAAAGGATTAAAACAACACAATGGCGACTACGTACAGCTACAGGAAGCTGCGCTCTCATCCATGGAGAGGTAGATCTTAATTTTGTTATCGGAAGCACCTGTTTTAATCATCGAGTGTTAGTAGCAGACATCGAAGATGAACTTATTCTCGGAATGGACATCGTGACCACTAGAGGTTTTGAACTAAACCTCAAACAAGAAATTTTGAAAATAAATGAAGAAGAAGTGGTTCTACATCGAAAATGTGAGGAGACGCTTCGCGTGGTAGTAGCAGAAGA